ACCTCTGTCAGGCACGTGAGGCTTATGTGCACAACATTCATCCCCCTCAGGGAGGTGGGACATCCCCGTGCCAATGCTTGCATATGGGAGTAGATGCATATATGGCTTAAGATTATGTTGCATGTAGGTATTGGTTGTGTATCACACTACATGCCCAGTCTACACTATGTGTTATTTACAAGACATGCATTGAAAAGAAATAGTGGTTGCTACAAGGAGAATATTCCTGCTTATAATCCTATTTAAAACTCTTCCTTCAGCTTACACGCTAGAAAGCTTATTTCTAATCTATTTTGTACAATTTTCTGGTCAAGGAAGGAGGTGGTATTTCCTTTTCTTCTCTCACAATCACTAAGCCTTCAAAGTCGTCATGGTGTTGGCCTGTTTCTTTAATCTCTCTTGCTTCGCCTTCGCAGTCGGTATAGTAGTTCGCCAAGTCGTCAGAGTTGTCAGGTGCATTCTGCCTGGGATTGAAGTCCTCCAGCTCCTTGATATTGTTTGTTTGGAATAATTGCTAGCCACAATTATCATTTCTCCCTTCAGTCCTTTCTCTAGCTCCTTCGGGGTACCAATCTTCACTCCCTATGTCATATGGTTGGGGGAAGTTGATGTCCCAGTCATCAGGTGTTTGTTCAAGTGGCTCATTCATCATTGTAGGCTTGCACAGCTTGTCATAGCCTTTCCCTTTGGTGTAGCTCGGGTGCTCCAGGTTCCCAGCGGGTTCACAATTGGTACAAGGACTTGATTCCTTATGGCTTCCTTGGTCGGTTCCCTAATTGGTGGATAGTTTGGCTCAATTTTTTGGTTGCGTTGTTTGGTATAGTATTGCCACTATCACTAGCCGTATGATGTCTCGGCCTGTGGTCATTTCATGCATGATCCAGTCGATCTCAAGCTCCACTTTTTCCAGCCACGGTAGTCCCAGTATCTAGATGAAGGTTCTCAGTGGCATTTCCACTGCTGCTATGGTCATCTCGCAACTTCCCATGACGAGTCTCAGCCCGTGATATCTCACAGCGTCCTCGACCTTGCTCCCGCCTAACAGCGGGACATTTAAGTCATTGGTCAGCATGCAGCACCTTCGTTTGCATTCTCCCGGTAGTATCCCCTTTGCCACAAAGTTAATCATAGCTCCAGAATCCACTAGAGCTTGAATGGTTCGGCCTTCAGGTTTCTCAAAGTAGCAGGGTAGTTTTTTGGTGCCTACCTGTGCCTCCCACGCATTGCCACAGTAGGGTAGCTCGTCCCCTAGTCGGTCTTGGTGACTCTTTATGTTAGTCACGTTGTGACGTCTGATGTCTCGGCTGGTTGGGGTGCGTTCTCCTAGCCTTGGTTTTGTTGCACAATCCTTCGCAATGCGCCCATATCCTCTGCATCAGTGGTACTGTACTCTGATGGGCCTTGCTCTTTGCAGATTGTCTATTTCCGTCGGTGTTGGCCCAACATGTGGTAACGGTCGGGGTAAGTTTCATATGGGTGGTCATGTGAGCTTGTGCCTTGACATCATTTCACTCTGAACAGGATGTCGTCCGCCCTCAATACGTGACTCATTGCCTGCTAAAGATTCTAGGGGTTGGCTCTCTCCACATCAAGTCGTACGGCTGCCTTCAGCCCCTTTTTGTATCTATCTATGTACTCGTCCTTGCTGATACCTTTTATACATGTCTTGAGGTCCACAAACTTTGCCGAGTAGTCTTTGACGCTGGTGCACTTGCTCAGCCTTGCGAGTTCATCCTTGGCCTTCTGTCGGTCGTTGGCTGCTCCAAATTGACCCTCCGCAATGTCTATGAAATCTCTCCAAGTCCAGACGGCCCCTTCTCCGTGCGACTCCACCAAGTTCTGCAACCAGAGGGCAGCTGACCCTCAGAACAACCTAGTAGCGAATTCCACGTTGTATGCCTCATCATGTACATTCATTAGTCACAAGTATTGCTTGATTTGGAAAGCCCATTGTGTGAATGTTCCCTACCGCGCTCCCTCGTACTTTGGTGGCTTTAGCGGTTTGAGGGTGGGTATGTTGACTCTTTCCCCACCATTGCGAGTCCCAGCTCCATTCAGCGTTGCAGCCACGGCCATGGCTTCCTCGAGTTGGTTTTGTATACGCTGATAGGCCTCATTCTGTTGTGTTTCAAAGTGTCTTGCCAATTGACTCTACCATCTGCCCAGCGCCCGCTCAATGGCCAATCACAACTGGTCGGGTGAAGCTCCCGCTTGGCTGGGTGACGGACTTTGTACACTTCCAACCTGGCTCATGTTATCTTGGCTCCCCTTTGCCTCTCCTCTCGGCATAATTTTTGGTCGACGTCTTCTCGACGTCCTTGTTTTTTTGACGTCCCTGATGTCCCAACTGGTGCTCTCTGACACCCGGTAGCTTTCTATCCTCAATTTGGCCCTCAGAGCAGGCTATGCAGCTCACATCCCCTGATGCCCTGCGATTTTTGCCCTCGGGGCTGGCCACATCACTGATGCTCTCCTGGTGTCCAATGGTTTCTAGCTCCACTCCTTAAAGCTCCAAACGCAGTTGATGTTTTCGTGATGTCCTGTTGCTTGAATTGTGGGTTGCACCCTCCCATCCCATTCCTTGGGGAACTACCACCTCCCGATCATGAATCAGGTCTCCTCAAAGCGTTGCTTCATCGTCGGCAGCTTCACTGGCTCCAAAACAATTGTAAGGGGCGAAATCCCTTTTTGGCCGGACGGGAAATGGTCCATTCTCTCCTTTCGAGTCGGGGACCGGCCGAGTCAAAATTGTGCAACAACTTCAATTATAAATTGGTCCAGTGTGTTTGTATTTATACCCACTCCCAAGGGATCCCAAGGGTCATACCAGAAATAGGGTGAGTCACCCCAATTCTGGCATACCCGCCAAGTTTCAATTTGAATTCGCCCATCCCTTGTTCTTCCGTTCCACCGACCCGGTGGTCCTGAGACCCATTCCTACCATGCTGACCAACACGGTGCTTTCCCTCTAGTCTTTCCCCCTTTGTCCACGGTATTAGAAAACACCTAAGTTGCCACTTCTAATTAGTATTACTCTCCCTCAAGTACTGACCTTGGTTTCCCTAATATACATTGCTCCCGTGAAGGCCCTTATTATACAATGCACTGTGCTTTTTCCCCAAGCGAGTGCTCCTATTGTACAGTGTTCCCAACGGTTGGGAAGTTGGTTACCAACTTATAATGTACAATATAGTATAAGTCCCTCCTATAACCGGCCTCGCAAACTCGATGGTTGTCAGCCTATGCCCATCCCAAAAATTCACATTCCCTTGCAATTGCATTGTGCAAAGCACACCCAGCAAAGTAGAAGTTTAGCAAACACACACCGCGGTGGCAGCCCTGTTGGCCAAAGGTGCTCTGCCCACTGGGGCAGGGCTCTCCATTTCATATTCTGACACTGCCGGGCACAACGTGGAGTGCGGAACCTATGTGCCCATTTGCGTTGTGTGTGTAGTTACCTCTTTTCTATATCAGCACGGAACCGCTGGTAGAACACCAATGGTGAGGAGTGGCTTTGGACGGCTGATAGTGTGCCTTCCTAGCATGACCTTTGTCACTCATTGCAAGCCATGACCAGGGCTTACTTTGTTGGAGCCAATGCCCTAGGCTCAAGAGCCTAGCTGTGCACGGTGCAGTGATATTGCAACTTTGCCTTGCGTCCAACCAATTGGCCTCTCTGGGCCCATCCGACATGTGGGAAATGTGTAAGTGATGGACGCTGCAGGCGTCCGTGGTGCGGAACAGTTCACCTATCACAACATCTTTTCCTTTGTTTATGGACCGGAATCTTAATTTACTTTTGGCGTTGTTTGCAACCAATATATTGCCAAATGGTTTTGGTGCAACCAAGTGGAATCACAAGACACTGATGGCATGCACCGTTTCTGCTCGACAACATGATTACATTGCAAGCAAACGTTAAAAAAATGGAAGGAACGTAATTTTGCCTTATAGGCATGCTTGGTCTTTACATTTACGTTGACGGTTTTACATTTTTACATGCAAAATGTAAAGTTACAAAAGGGGCAATTTAAAGCTGGATGTATATTCCTTTTCGGCTCATCGGGGCACCTAGGCTACATGATGAAGTCACAAAAAATGATCAATCCTTTGTCTCCCCGAGCACCCACAACACAGCGTCCACCTCACTCTCAACAAGGGCAAAGACATGGTTGAACAAAAGGTCACCTTTGCCTACTCCAGCGCATATAGCTGCCAGCCCCCGGACTTAGTGAGTTTGCATATATTGTCTCTATATACACCGGGTCAAATCTTACGTATTTTTATGTGTACAAATGTAAACGCTATGTTTTACACGTCAGTACTCAGTATTTACGTTGTAAAGACCAAGCATGCCTGCGATTTTTATATGATACAAGTAATTGGCCAAGAATTGAAACGTGGGAACCCCCCCCTAAAAAAAAGACGTTAGGGACTCAGAGGTTGCAGGTGTTATCGATGTTAGGCTAGGCCAAGGACCAGATCCGGCCAGGCTGACAATCACCCGTTGGCTGCATTTTTAGGAGTGCTTCATTTACTATTTTTCAAGCTAAAGGTGTGAGACAGGTGGCCCCATCGTGCACCCAAAGTGGACCACCAAGCAGAGTCATGAAGCGATAAGAACACGGGGGATTGGGAAGCAAAAGAAACAAACGTGGCAGGTTGGCCGCGGGACAACACAAGGCTGTGGTGTTCTTTTAAGAGAACAACCAGAGACACCACGCCGCTGGGACAGGATGGTGTGAAGGGCCGCAATGAGCTGCAAAATGTTCACACTTCGTGAAAAACTGGACGTGTACACACTCATGTATACACCGCACTCGTGTCTGCTGTTGGAGCCCGTTCCCACACATTCCCCTTATCTAAAGTGCGCCAAATATCCCATTCGACCGTCCTTCGCCGCCAAGCTCCCCGCGACCCTCCTTCCCCCACCAAAGTTCCCCCTCCAAGGGCCAGTCCCGCCGACCACAGCCGGCCAACTCGGTCCCCGCCGCGCCGCCATGACGCGGTGGCAGCTCCTCGCGCTGCTGCTGGGCGCGCTGCTGATCGCTGCGCCGCTGACCAGCGTCCGGGGAGAGGAAGACGAGTACGAGGAGGACGAGGGGGATGCAGAGGAGCCTGCAAAGGCGGAGGACGACGGCGAGCCTTCAGAGAAAGACGTGGTCGTCCTGACAGCCAAGAATTTCGATGAGAAAGTGATGAAATCGGAATTCGCGCTGGTGGGTGGCCCAGGGCGGCACGCGCTTGACGCCGGGGCGGCGCCAACCTCAGGTGGCGACTCGGATGTGGGATCCTGGGAGCGGATGGGGATCTGATGTGGCGTTTTGATCGTGCGTTTTCCAGGTGGAATTCTACGCGCCCTGGTGCGGGCACTGCAAGGTGGGTGCGACCCGCGCGGATGGCAGAGATCTGGGTGGGAGGGACGTCGGGGACACGTGTCCACAGGGCGATTCGCTCCCTAGGGTCGGTGGACTCGATCCTTCGCACCCAATTGCCAGGCGGGCTCTCCACGAGCTCCGCTGAGCGCACTTCGGCCGCTGGTTGCAGATCGGCGGCCTCCCTGCGCTGCCCATTTTCACCGCTTTTGGTCGCATGGGGGCCGCGTCGGGACAGGTGTTTTGGGGCGTGCTTTTTTCTTCGGTGGATAGGAGTGCGCGACGGTTGAGGTGGGGCCCGTGGGGCAGCGGATGCAACGCCTTGCCCAAGGTTGCCACCATGGAAGGTTGACCGCCACTCATTGTGGGCAAGTTCCGTCGCGTCCCAGGACTGTGGCAGCCCGCGGTGTCTCAGTGCGAGCAGCAGCGGCCGCATCGTCGATCGAGGCGCTGGGGCCCAGGGCACCGATGCTGGGCGGCGCTCTTGGCGGTCTCGCTTTGCCGGTGTTGTGACTCGCCGGTGTCCATGCAGAAATTGAAGCCCGAGTACGCAAAGGCAGCCACGCAGCTCAAGGAGTACAACGCAGACATCGTCATCGGAAAGGTGCGACGCCTGTTCCGCACCCACACTCATACCCCCGTCACCAGGTCGTGCGAGCGCAGCTGGTGTCCAGCCTTTTGCAGAGGCATTGTCACCATCCACTGCAGAGTTTGCGAAGGGGCAGCGGGCGTTAGTTGACTCCTCTTGCCCAATGATCTGCTGCAGGTGGATGCCACCGTGGAGAAGGAACTTGCCGGGAAGTACGGAGTGAAGGGGTACCCGACCTTGAAGTGGTTTGTTAACGGAAAGGCCAGCGACTACGGTGGCGGCCGGGACGAGTAAGTGGATGAAGGGTGTCCTGTTCCCGCTTCTTGTTGCGTTGCTTGCTCTGCTCCAAGAACTTGGACAACCCCCTTGAATGTTCAAGAGGGAGCGCAGTGTGCGACAGCTGCGCGGCGCGTCTCCTGGCAACATCACTTGGCGCGCCAGTTGCGATCCGATGGTCTGACGGCTGACTTCTGGCGATCAGGGACTCACTGGTGCGGTGGGTGAAGAAGAAGACGGGCCCTCCCGCTATCACCATCGAGACCGAAGAGGAGCTCAAGTCAGCTGAGACCAGCAACGAAGTCGTGGTCCTTGGCTATTTTGCCAAGTTTGAGGTATTTCCTCATTTTGTGGCTGTGTTCGCTGAAGCCAACTTCCTTTGGCGTGTTGCCACAGGACATTTGTCGGTTGGGTGTGGCTTGTTTCTGTACCGCCTTTGTGTGTGTAACACTGCTGCCTTGTCAGCCTTTTGTGCTGCCTTATGTGCTTGTACTTTTGTTAGTTTCCCAGCAGGTGTTATTGATATCTAAGAAGTCTTAGCTTGCTTGGGAAAGTGCTCAACTGCATATGCAAGCTTAGCCAAAACCGCACTGTGCTTCCTTGCTGGCCTTTATTCTTCTTTCTTATGTTTCTCAGCCACCATTTGTCTTTCTGACTTGTGGGGGGAGTGATGATAAGCACATGTTGCAGCAGCAGATGTGCCTGCAAGAAAAACAGTCCTATTTTGCGTCAAAGGCAACTGGAGGCAAAGAGCATCAAAACCTTCTGACTGTCGTGTTGTGCTGGAGCAGGGCAAGGAGTTTGAGCAATTTGTTGCTGCTGCACGGTTGGCAGAGGACGTCACCTATGCTCAGACCAAAGATGCCGCTGTGGCCAAGGCAGCTGGGGTGAAGGGCGAAGCTCCAGCAGTGGTCATTGTCAAAAACTTCGAAGGCGAAGAGAGGGAGGTTGTGGCGTTGGAAGGCGATATAACCACTGAGAAGCTTGAAGAATTTGTGAAGTCAGAGAAGCTTCCACTTATCATCCCGTTTGCTGAGAAGAACCAGGACAAGATTTTCGACTCTGGCATCGACAGGCAGTGCCTTGTTGTGGCTGACAAGAAAGAACTGACAGGAGAGGCAGAACTGTTCAAGGTGTGGAGATTCAATGCTCTGGTAGTTCCCTTGGTGCCAATGCACAGGATAAAAGCAGAGCCCAGTCCCTGCCAGAAGGAATGGAAAAGACTCCAGGAAGGAGTGGCAGGGGAGAAATTGACTTGGCAGCTCACTGGACCTGGCTGAGAAATAGAAGGAAAACAAAATTGTGAAAAGAAAGCCCAAAATTCCACAACTCACCTTTGGAGCCTATGACCCAAACTTTGCATCTTGCTGTCTCCTCAGATGTGCAAGGCGCCTTGGTGGAAGCAACTAGTGTTGGAGGGCAATGATGTTCCAGCTGGGATTCCTCTCGATATTTTCAGAAAAGCCCAGTAAACCCTGTTGCAACATGTTGCTGCACAAGCTCCCTGGAAACCGTTGTTGCAATGTCTGCACTGGTGTGCGTGGCTTGTCTCATTGGTGGTCTAATGCTGGGGACTCAAACAGATATGAGGTTTGTCTATCCTGCTTGTTCCATCTCTAACTCGTGTCAGCTGTGGGCCTGCTGTGGATGCACAGGCAGTGAAGGCGGTTGCAGAAACACACAAGGGCAAGATGATCTTTGTCAGCGTTGACTCATCAGGCGAAAGCGCCGCCCCAGTCATCAACTTCTTTGGATTGGAGGCAGACAGCTTTCCACAGGTGGGCCGGCACATACCGTACTGTGTTGCCCCATTTGGCATTGTGGGATGCAGGCAGGCATCGAAACTTTAGTGCTGGCAATGGGGTCTGGCAGCATATTGAACCCCTCAAGTGTCACCATGAACAGCCGCAATTGGATGCGCAATTGCACTTCAACTACACCTGCCATTGCAGCTTCCCTCCAATTGGATGATCATCTTTTGTGCAACAAACAATGCGCAGCTTCAGTCTGCAACCCACACCTGTCCTGGACACCTGCTGTGTCTCACAATCCTTTATAGCCCTCAGAGTCATTCCGCGCCTCTCCCGTGGATGGCCTGTTGCTCTTTGTTACAAGTCTTGACCCCCTTCCCCCTCTTTAGGCCCTTTCCCTCTCAGCTTGGGTGCAACTGTGCAAGCACAACAAATCGTGGCTGTCGCCTGTGCTCATCGCCATACTTGACCATCGCGTGGTTCTGCCCAAACTGCGCTCATTGGATAGAATGCACAGATTGTAATAGAAATAGCAAGCCCTATTCTGAAGCGGAGCTGGATTCATGGTAACAAATTTGAGTGCTGAGTTCTTTGTTGCATTAGGCATATACTGCAAGATTTCTGTATCATATCTCATTCTCGCCTGGAGGCATTGGCTGTATTGTGGGGCTTGTAGGCAGTTGAATTTCCTCAAAATTGTGCCGATGTTGTCTATCAAATACACTATGGTAAAATAAATATACTATCAAATGTACTATGGTACTGCAAAGTGTTTGGCAATGTCAAACATATACTGCATTGCCAATGGTGTTCCAACCCTAACAGTTGAAAGATTCAACTTACTGGTGTGATGCTGAAACTACTGAGAAACAGCAAAACAAGATCAGACACCATCCCTAACAGGTATTGTGCTGATCCTACCTCAGCTGAGCAGTCTGTGCAGCTTAAATCGCTGTGGATCGCATTCTCTAGGTTGTGTCCTTCCAGCTCAGCGGCTCCAAGAAGTACAAAATGACTGGAGAAGTCACGCAAAAGAGCCTGCAGGCCTTCACTAATGGTGTTCTGGACGGCACGATAGAGCCTGACTACAAGTCTGAGGACATCCCAGCAGAGGGGCAGGACAAAGCGGGAGGCGTGCAAATCGTTGTTGGCAAGACTTTTGACAAGATCGTGAAAGACCCCACCAAGGATGTCCTGCTGGAGGTGTATGCGCCCTGGTGCGGACACTGCAAAGCACTGGAGCCCATCTACAAGAAGCTGGCCAAGCGCTTTGCGAAGATCGATTCTGTGGTGATTGCGAAGATGGACGGTACTGCCAACGAGCACAAGGACGTGGATGTGAAGGGCTTCCCGACATTGCTCTTCTTCCCTGCCAAGGACGGTGCCACGCCCATCCCCTATGAGAGTGGTGACAGGACGCTTCTGGTGAGCTCCTGCCGCTGACCACAGGATAGCACTGATATAATGGTGCTTAGGACGATAGCACATGCTGCTACTTATTATGTATAGACTCTAACAGAGATTGTGAATAGATAGTTGGCGACACGCTATGTCGACAACAGGTCAAGGAGTGCTTCGCTTGCTTGCTTTGGAAGGGGTGGGATGCAAGCCGCAAGGAAGGGCAACTATGTCCTCTGGCGCTGTATGGGTCACCCTGTCAAGAGAATCATTTGTGCCAAGTGGCAGGATGCCATTTTGTGTGCTGTCAATCTTCACAGAGAGTGTACTGGGACGCTTTGAGAGCGTTTGTGTCTCTTGCCTGGGTTCGATGCCGTAGGTGATGCAGCAGTTAGAGTGCATCAATTGCAGTTGTGTAGCTCTTGAAGTGCTGTGTGGCAGTGAGCAACTGCAGTGAGCCTTTGACCCTATCATTATAGTATAGAATGGCAAAACCTTGGATCGTGGCAGTTGGCATGTCGTCACATGTGCAGCAATGTTAGGCATTGGTGCAGTTGTTGAAAACGCACTCGCACACCGGGACACTTCGTCAGCAGGCCTGCTCCAAATTGTGGTCACCTACCTTGCTGTGGTACTATGCGGCTGCCATGGCATCAGTCTGGCACATACTGTATATCCTGTGTATATGACACTTCTGGTAATGGCATTACTGAGTTGTTCGTGTTTTTGGCCTGCGAATGCACACCATGGCTGCATTTCAGCGTACTTCATCAAATTGTTGTGTATGCGCTGTTCTCGTCCACACCATGTGATGTTGCCCGTTGTGCGTGTGTGTCGCCAGCCCCTCACCAAGTTCATCAAGAAGCACGCTGTCATCGAGTACGAACTAGCCACGAAGTCGAAGTCAGAAGAGAACAAAACGGAGGAGAAGCCAGCAGGTGGCCATGAGGAGTTGTGATCCGAAAGCGACGAAGACTTTTGAACTGGGTTTTTGGAATGTAATTACATTCAGTCCACAGTCGCTGTAACGAGGGATGGTTGGTCTGATAGTGTGTGTGTTTTTATTTCAAATCGGCAGGAAAGTGCACGATGTGTGATCAGCTACACTATGTTATTATTTTCCGATGCAGCCCATTGCGCACTGCAGCGCCTTGCAAACCTGCATGAAGACACACGAAGCAATGGCTCGCAAACCGCAGCGGAAAACATCGGTAGTGGTGCCTTCCCTGACGGAGTGGACTAGAAAGCACCGGCGGCGTTAGCCACAGCTGCATGCGAAACTTGGCCGCACTGCTTCCGCCCAAGTACCGTGCCCACGTTTGCTGTCTCCCGCAGGTTGGGCATTGAAGCACTGCATGTGCAGTGAGCAAAGTCGTGCAACTTTACGGCTCACCGTTGTCATTTGCAACTACGGCGTTGTGGGTTCTAAATTGTAGCTGTGGGGAAAGGAGCATTGCTGGACTAGGCCTGGTCTGAATGCAGAACACTATGCCAGAAATGTAAGACCGAGTCGAACGCTGCATCATCGTGAAGCCCATGATTCGCATGCGTTCCTGACACTGGCAAGGATCGTTGAAAGCATGAGCTCAGCGTCCGCCGCTTGTGCTTCTTTGGTGGTGCCAACAGATTTCAGGAGGGCATCTGATTTAAAGAAATGTTTGTCGACCCTCAATCTTTGGCTGTTGCATCAATTGGGGACATTGACGTAGCCTCATTGCCGCTCCCTCACCACATTGTCTTCGTCATCCTGGGCCATGGACAGCGTGTTTGCACTGTCTGTTCGCTGAATTCTGGACCACAAGGGGCGCAAGCTCATGCAATTGTCAGCATAGTCTATTGTTCTAATGTAAGTGATAATTGGCGACTCAAACATGGGCCCAATCCCGCTAAGATCTCCTGCCTTGCTCCCCAGAACCCCAGGTGTGGGTGGAGGTGCATTCAGAATGTTTGCTTGTTCGCTATGGTGGCCCACAGAACGAGGCATGTCTGCAGACAGAGAATGGGAATCCTCCAAGTCAACTGAAGATATTCCTGAATGCCAATTGTTGCTAATGCTTGAAGCGTCATTGTACCATTTGCGTCATCTTTCAACAATGCAGGAAATGAAGATTGAAATTCAGAATCAATTTCGTGTTAGGCCGCCCGTCCCCTCGGAACTTTGGCATTGTGCACCAAACGCATCAAATTGATGCAAACGTGGTTCCCATGCGAACGAACGTGCCTTTGCTAGGCAACAGTGTTAGCGCTCGTAACATGGATCCCAATCCCATGCACCGGATGCAAGGAAGGATGAGACACTACATAGAATTACACTCTCCATAGCATTACAAGAATAAAGCACACAATTTTCAACTCGTCACACTCGTCCCAGTCTACTCAAGATGAGGGGTCAAACTTTGCGGAAATGTTAAACCCGTTGACGTTGAATGGGTCGGCCACGTGGTCCGCCCAGTTCTCCACAGGTCCCTTGCCAGTGCAGATGGCCTGCACGTAGTAGCCAAACATGGAGAACATGGCAAGCCGTCCGTTCTTGATCTCCTTGATCTTGAGTTCGGCAAAGGTATCTGGGTCGTCAGCAAGGCCCAGGGGGTCGAAGTTGCCGCCAGGATAAAGGGGGTCGAGCCCCTCGCCGGCTGGCCCACCGTTTATTCTGTAACCCTCGGCCAAGGCCATGATCAAGACCTGGCCATGAGCAAGCATGCAATCAAGTGCTTGTGAATGACCTGTTCAGTTTTGTGGTCCACAGATGCCTTTCCCATTGGGCAGCAGGTCCACGATAAAGGAGCAACAAGCAGAAGGGGGCAAACAATGATTGAGTACTGTGGCCCAGGAGCGCATTTCCAAAAGGATTGACTGTTGAGCGGGGTGCAAAGAGTAGTGCAGTAACAGTGATCAAGAAGAGACTGAGGTCTGAGCTCGGACAGCAATGCGCAGCAGTATGAAACGATTGTGCCCGATCAAGGTTCTTTGTCTTAGAACAGCCTTGGCCGAGTTGCAGTATCAGCGGCTGTAGTGGCATATACAAACGACTGTCATGGACTTTGGATCGCAACATAAAGGAGATGAACAACCCTTAACCTGTCTACTACTTGATCTGGCACACTGTGTTCTCCCACATTCGTTGCATAAGTTGGGAAAACTGTGTGCATGCTCTAATGTTGGAATCGACTCCACCTCAAATGCCCTGTTGCTGTGAAAAGCAGGTCCATGGAAACAGCATCACAGAATTGGTGGCGCTGCCCTGCTGAAGTACCTGAACGATCATGATCACGATAATGGACTGGGCATGCACAAGAGCTGGGTTGCCCAGGTAGTTAAGGCCACCCTCGCGGTAGATCGAAGATCCTGCCTTCCACCAGACGGGCTCGGCCAGGTCTGTCCCCAAATACTTGGCACAAAGCTCAGGGATGAGGCACCCCACAGTTCCCACCATCGCCCAGCGGGCGTGGATGAGTTCCGCCTCACGATATCTGAGCAAAGAGATGCGAAACAGTACATCACACACAACAGCTCGATGACTGAACTGCAGATTCACACGTCCATCTCCTGTCTCGGCAAGGGTGCTGTTAAGCCAGAGAAGGTCATCTGCCAGAAGGCAACTCATGCCACTATCGCATGGAGATGCCTGTCACTGGTGGCTGCTGAAAATGTGGAGCACATTGGCTTCAGTTGTACTAAATCATATTCCATATGCAACTTTGCATACTGCAGCATATTATACGTTTCCGCCTCCTACCATAACATTTGGCCTTTCCATGCAAAGCAACAAAAAATTTGTAACAGTGCCAAGAAATGTGGAGCCGTGACGCAAGGACTGCTCGTGGCGTCCAACGGACCCACATGGATGAGGCACTATGGCGCAAACTGGCCTTTGTGCCCACACAAACTGAGCGGAGTCGCTCTTCCAGCTGTGACAGTCCTGTGCAGCCCCCAAATTGCGGGGCAAAATCGTAACGCCGAAGTTACAAACTGCAGAAGGGTTGAAAGTACTACGATATAGCCGTCCACAGAGCTCTGCTGACATGGAGAGGCGGGGTTTTTTTGCCAAGCATCGTGAGACCAGTGTAGGGCGCCAGGAATGGGGTGTAGTCTGACCATCTGAGTACATTGTGCCGTGCTTTTGCATTGGCTTTAAGGATGCACTCTATCATGTGAATCCTTCCCTTTGGCCTTGAGCAAAGGGGTGCAAATAACTTGGGGACTTCCTGATCTGATGGCTCGCAGTCGGGGTTGTGTGCAAGCTGTCCACTCACCTCCTGAAGGTCTCTGGGTCAGCGGAGAGGCCGGCAGAGTCCCAGCCATAGTCCCCAGGGAACTCGCCCTTGAGGTAGGGGGGCACGGCCTGGGTGAGGGGCCCCAGCCACAGGTTCCTCTTGGGGCCGTACCACTCATCAACGGCAGCTCGCGTCACCTGCCGCGTTCCCTGAACGGACAACCAAGACCGTCAGCGCCACGGAGCAGCTTGCGATCCGGCGAGCACAGGGGGCGCGGATCGCTGTGCGCCGTGTCGAAACGGTCCCTCTCGGCCAATCACTACCGCAGAACACCTTCCAAGAATGGTCAGACAGATCGGCAACACGTTCTACTGTCTTCCCCCGTGGTGAGCTGCCACGCAGTGAGAGACTTCACGACTGACAAGGGGGAGTGCCGTGGACTCAGTCGTACCAGCCGATCCTGCTACGAAGCCCTCTGACGACTCGCATACCTTGCCCTGGCCGGCTGCCGGCTTGATGCCAGCCCCGAAGAACGTGCTCGTCACGGTGGAGGCCATCGCGACGGGGGACCAGACGGGGGATGCGGACAGGCGTGTCGGGGCGGTGACCTGCAGGACGGGCGCCGCATTAAGGGGCTCGAGACCAAAGGCACAGGATCTCCGCGGCACTTTCCTCATCGGTCACTGGACACAATCCGGGGTTCATAATGCGCCAGCGCACATGCCGCCGGGCACAGTGGCAGCCAACGCGTGGTGCTGGCGCCGCCAGAGTGTAGCTGTCTCTGAATGGCGACCGGCCTTCGGCGCGCGGCGCCCGACAATGACGAGGAACGATCACTTTTTGTCACAGTGACCCGCACCGCGTCGCAACTACGTCCGACACTCGCACAAGCGTCGGTCGTCGGTAGGTTGCTTTCAAACTCTCATCAACTTCCCTTGTAAGTAGCTTTCAAACTTCAGCTGCGCTGCTGTAAGGGGAGCGCCACGTGCTGCACCCATTGTGCGACCTTGGCCTGTTGTTCAACTCGTCGAACCGTGGAAACGTGAGCTGAGGCTCTGCGGCAGCGACGAACTTGGATAACGGAGTCTGGCCGTGCCTCCTGTTGATGGTAACGGTCAGGCGCCATCCGCCAGAGTTTCAGGGGGTTTGTTTGAGCCTTGACACCTCTTTCTATCCGTCATGCTGTGCGGCTGCTGCCCAGCGCCCACAGCCCTTTGTCCCATTGCTCTCCTACACATAATGCTGCCCCAGGTATTCCGGTTTGGCTCAGTAATCTTGCAGCGTAATCAGCGTTGCTAATTGTTCTTTTGCTGTGTATTTCTATCATTCGTATACTGCCAGGGTCCCGTCCATACATTTATCCCCCAAGCGCTGCCCATGCCTATGACAAGTGCACATGTTCTGCCCATGAGTTTCCAATGACTTACCCTTAGTAGTTTTCTGGCGTCTCCTAATTTACTGTGCTTGCTTCTCCCGTCATAACCCATTGTCTACATTACTGATGTTTAAACACATGAATTCATGTGTTTTCTACGTATCATTTTCACCTAATCTTCAAACTTGACTATCCCACATCTATTAGTGACTATTTCGCATCAAATCCTGCCAAGCTCCCCGTGTGACGTACGTGCTCTACTACTATTGTTCCTATGTTTCATTTCGAAAATAATAAGGCTTGTTACAGCTCCAGAAGCAGAACAGTTTGTGCTACTGTACTTCAAATCCTTTGACTACTTTTGTCACATGAACATGACAAAACACTGCCCTTGCACCTCGGAGGCGATGGTGGGCAGTTTGTGCTACTGCGCTGTTTGAGTTCGTTCTAAGTCACTCATCAAACTCACCATCACTTGCATTTGATGGCGCATTTGGTAAAATTGGCTGGCTTGAGATTCTCAAAAGCACACACAGCAAAACCCGCTGTGTGAGATGCCCCAAGTATGCTAACATATGTGTGCTTACCGTAATATATTTTGCTGTAACGTTGACTGCAATGTTCAGCAGTACTGCACATGAGATGTGCCCTCTCGAAATTGAGCGCACAAAGAAGCCCCTTGGGCACGTAATCTCGGGCTAGGAATTCTGGGACTTGCAGGAGCTTTGTGACGCTGGCTCGGATCATGAGTTTGTGCATATCCAAGTGCATAGCACCCCGTCGAATGGGTAAAACATCAAGGTGCACATGCGCCATTTGCCCAGTGCACGTGGACTCTTATCCCTGATACCATCCGATTCGAGCACCGTCCACAGCCTTTGCCATGCCCATGTTGCAGATGTGTTACGTAGAGATACCGAAAACAAGGGCAGCTTGCACCCGATTTGGAACTGGGTGCCCTGGGTCTCAGTGTCGCATCTTAGGCATGAAAGGACCTCCCATGCAAGATTCCTTAACCCTTTCAGAAAAGGAAACGAACCATAGCATCCACGCGAGGCCAGCGTCGTGGGCAACGCCTATAGATCCAAGTTCTCTGTGCCGCTTGGAGAGGCACCCACCTACCCGCAGCTATCGTTCCCATGCTGAACTTACATCTCCAGAAGCTTTCGTTGTGCAGTGCACAGTCGTACATTTAAAGGTTATTAAGTTCATTGGCAGGGCTTCATCCCATTGAAGATAAACTTCATATCGTGTGAAAGCTCACGCCTCTAAGCCAAATACCCCACAGAAAGTTTTCTGTACGAGCACACAAATAAATGCCAACATGCTGGGCCAGTGTGCCTCCCACAGTCGCCACAGCGCGCAAGCGATCTGCCACCGCGATCCTTGCGTGCCTGCCAACCGCTTTCAGCAGACTCCCCCTTTCGAGAAGTCGTATTCCTTCTTCGACCCGTCGTAGTCGAGAGCGGCACCCATCCGTGAGGCTTTGAGGAAGGCATCCAGAGCGGCAGTTGCACGAGGCGGCCACCTTCCTCTCACCCTGTTCACTGCATTGGAACTGTGCGCAACAAAAGTCGTTCCAAATTGAGGGAAAGCCAAAAATATGCCGGAGCGCTCGTTGCGGATGGAGTCATGCCCATTATCAGCTGGTGAGTACGCCATCCGTCAGGGGCCACATTTGACAACTGATAACGAAGATCTGGCACATACACAAACGCAGGCGCCAGGAATTTCTCGTTCACCGCAATTTGCGGAAGCTGAACACGTTGTTGCCCATATGTGTATGCATGCGACAACATAGAAAAATGACACCCAAATTCCTTTCCCAGAATGCGCTGAGGTCTGCACATTGGTGAGAACGCATTTGGTGAAAACGGTAATGGGCATAGTCTGACTCATGGGTTTCTGTGGACATGCTTGGTATTCGATTTGCAGTGAGCAGTATCGGCTCCAGTTCCAGAGTAGACGGCGCAGACTTGCACGGATATGTCTGCGCTGTGGAAGCACGTTGTACTGACTATCACAAGATTGTGACCGACGCATGCCAGCGTGCACTCACAGTAAAACACAAAGACTTGAAATCACTCCTTTTTCTGTTTCAAAGGCTGGTTCATGAAAAGCTGATCAACAGCATTAAGTTGGCTATTGTTGTATTTTGCATAGTACAACATATGTTGGAAGGGCGTGAAATTGTTCTGAAAAAGAAAAATTTTTAATGGCGCTTAAAGCAGCGGAACCACTCTGCATAGACATTCGCTGTGCTGGCATTCACCGCCCTACTGCTGCAAAGCGACAACACCTATTATTGCCAAGGGCATTGTGAACTAACTTTAGCAACAACTAGCAACATATTCGAAAGGATAAGTGGGCACCGGGAGACGTGTACATCAGCAATGGTTCACAACCCCACAGCTCACCTGCTGTACAACAATTCTCCAGCGCCGTCGCCCGCCTGCTGCAGTGCCTCCCACTCGTCCTCAGCATCGCTCTCGCGGCCGCAGGCCCAGAGGAAGGCCACGAGTGCGCAGCGCATGTCCAGAAAAGCTGGGTCCCTTCGCAGGAGTCCCCTTACTTCCCTCACAGCCTGGCCGACCCTGTCCACCTGCGGACGGAAAGCTAGGCCAACTTTGGTGCGGAACAGTGGCTGATGCCTTTTGCCCGGCACCACTTCCGTCTCGACCAAAATTTCCGCCCTCCTGAAAGCTTGCAGATTTGGGAAGAATCTGCTGTGCTCATAGCCATTGCCAATATTTCTGAGTTTCTGAGCTTCCACCACACTGCTGCGCCATTGTATTACTATTTAACCTCAAGCGGTTGACTCATGATGCCTCCATCTTTCTACAAATGCAATCGAAATGGAATCAGAGATTCAGAACAGAACGTGGCCTCGCGTGGACCCAGAGGTCCAGCGCTGACCCACAGCCGCTAGCGGCTCGCCACAAGACCACCACAGTGTCCAGTCGCGCAACTGGACCCACACCGGTGCCCGCCAACGCCAGAGGGGTTCCACAACAGGGCCACCGCGCAAGAAGTCCCCGCACAAAGCCCCATCAACAGGCGACAATACACCACCTGAAAGGCCGCCAGTGCGTGGTTGGCCAGGGCGATGTCGCCGACGTCGGGGTCCTCCGCCGCGGCCAAGAAATCTGCCATGGCGGCGTTCCAGTCCCCCGTCGCCGCCCGCGCGTTGCCCAGGTTGTTGAGCAGCACGCCGCTCACCCGCCCGCCGCCCTCCAGCTCCAGCGCCCTCTGCAGGTCGTCCCGCGCCTCCGCCCACCTCCCGGCCTGGAGGCGCGCGGTGCCGCGGTTGCTCCAAGCTGCCGAGTTGGCGGGGTCGATGCGGATCGCATCGCCCCAGGCGGCGTCCGCATCATCCGGGTCGGTGGCAGCGAGCGCGCGGTCAAAGGCGTGAGCCAGGGCGGCCGAGATTCGTCCCTCGGCGAGGGATTCCTGGGCCGGCAGCGCAAGGAATGCGACGACCAGGGATTGGATTGCGCACCTACGCGAGGTCCACAAGGATTGCAGGGCGGGGCTATGCATGAAAGTCGATGAATTTGACGGAGAGCGATCGGCACGGGGGGCCGCTGTGGATCGAGTTGGCCACCGTCCACTGCGGTAGCCATTGGAGTGCAGTGCGGGATGTGACGCTGGGCATGGGTTGTCCTTCGCGTCGGCGCGAGCTCCCCGGTCGCCGCGGGGGTTTGCAACGGGGAGAGGCGGGCGGCGGGAGCCCGACGGTGCGACGGCCTCACCCGGGCACAAGCGGATCCCGTCCATCGCCCCTGCGCGTGTGGCACATGTTCTGTCAGTCGGCAGATATTTGACAGCAGCTGGGGGCTTTGGTCTCACTGGCCCTGGGTATGTGGTCAGGGGTTCGCTGCAAATTTAGCAGGGACAATGCACGCACCGATATGCGAGAAGCAATGTCTTCTTTTGGACCCTCCCAACTTTTTTTTCCCGGCCTTCTTTCTTATTGATAATCTGGGAAGGGCCCAAAAGAATATTCTATCACTGTCAAGTTGTGATTGCCATACCAGCCCAGCGAATCATCATCATCATCATTATTTTTTACAGCCCAGCGAATCATTGCCTTGTTCTGTAAAAACCATGATGATGATGATGATGATGATGATGATGAATCCCTTGCGGACATACTCTATGCGTTTTGGAACTTTTGGATTCATTTCGGGAGAACGGTTCCCAGGAATCGCTCCTTGTGCACCAGCTAGCAGAGCGTGTCTAGACGACGTGCATTGTTGGGTGGTTGCCTGCATCTCCTAGATACTGGCCATTTGTGTTGACCAAGCGGTTAACACATCTACTGGCACACGGTCCCCAATGCCACGTGCAAACCTGCCCCTGCTTACAATGGCCTGGGAATATACTCTCTGACTTTGGGGCTGCCAGATTGTCTCCATGCTATGGAGTTCCTTAAAGAAACGCCCATGTGCCCCCGTTTAGTTGGTGTAAAGATCTGTGCCCGGGCATGGCACGACCCTTCAGGGTGAGCGCAATGGAATTCGACATGCGGAGGGTACCGTATACCGATTCACCGCATCAAAATGCGACCAAAATCGCTTCACACAGGACGCTGGGCTTATCCCTACATAGAGAATCACCCGCCCGACCGTCAGGTCCCACCCTCACAGCGTGAGGCGGCCCGTTCAGGTACTCCGGTAGCAAGACAAACGCTCTTACAGACCGGGGGCCGCTACAATGCGCACCCCCGCCACTTTATACATTGTCCCGACCAGGGTCATACGAAAAAATGCAAAGGTCCACCATAAGGTCCATCTGGGGATCCGGATCTCCCCACAGCCACACATCTGGATACCCCTTACAGCCTGACATTTGCACCGCCCCATTGGTCACCTCACCAAACCCCTCTGATCCTCCCCTCATACACAACGTCCATTTCAGTTCACCCATATCAGAGCTTTGCCCGTCCGCATACCCTCAGAACATCCCCTTGAATCCCTATACGGTCTAGTCAGTACTTACAAGTCACATCAGAAAAATCCTACGTCCGGCAGCCGCACCCTGCACCATGCGCTACCCCAGTCACCCATGCTTCTCTGCCGGTGGCGTCTCCTCTCGGTCGAAATCAGGCCTGGGCTTATGCCCTTGAAGCCATCCCTGGACTTTGACTCGGACGGCATCCATCCCCCACTTCTCCTTGATCTCCATATCGCGCGCATGCCACTCCCCAATCGCCCTATGCAGAGATGGCGAACGCATGTCCTTTCTGGGAGGGGTTGGTGGCAGGCGCATCAGGAATGCTCTGTCCGCCTCCAGTGCCTTCACCCGCCCATCCTCTATGAATGCCTCTTCCAACGACTGCACCTTTAGCCGCTAGTGGAAATAATCAGCGATCACGTTCAGCCTCGCAGCTCGGATGTCGTCCTCAATCGTCTCCATGGCCCGCCAAATGACCGGCTTGTTGTCCAGCAGCCGCAGCTGCGACAGCTCATTGTCTCATCGGGCCGCATCCCACACCGGCTTGAGACCGATATAACACATAGTCTCAAACTGTGCCATAATCTCCGTCCTTACAGCTGGCGCCAACGGTTGCATGTCAAGGGATGTTTGGAAACCCATCCCGGCATGAAGGACCGCATCAAAAATCTTCTGGTCGTCCGCCAGCGAGTCCTCCCACACAGACATCAGGGCGCCGTGTAGGTCTCGCGCTCGCCTCCACTTCTTGTCTTCTGGAGGCACCCCGCTTGAGTCTGACGCTTGTCCGCTTGGCGCTGCAAGACGGGCCACCTGGAACTGTTCCAGCTGGCTGCAGAAATCCCGCACGTCGTTCAGCCCCGGAAGAGACTGGGCGTGGCGCCACTCCAAGATCTTGTCGATGCGGGAGCTGCCCTGAGAACCAGCCATCCTTGCTTTGCTCACAGGCGACACAGAGGGTTTCCACGATCGCACAGCGCGAAATCCATATGGAACCCATGCACGCTCGTCTCAACATCCCGTCCGCAGCCCCCTGACTGACCATTAGTCAAATTAGTCACTCTCAGGCATATCGGACAGCCTGGTTCCCTGTGGCCCCTCAATTCCCAGCGAATAATCCCGCTAAAATCCTTAATTCTTTGTCAAATGAAAGACGGAAAACACCATTTGCTTCCCAATCAAATTTCTGATCGACTGATACTTTTCCTACCCCATAATGACCCCTCTTACCCTATAATGACCGTCCAAAAAGCGTGCACCCCAGCTGGCCCCTTTCTGTGTGGCTCACGGCGCAGTAACATACAGGCCAATTTGATGGCGCCCGATCTTGCCCGATTCTGCCTGCGATATCCCGATACCTCATCACACCGCACCCGCACTAGGCCCCCCACTGAGTCAGCCCCGGGGACCATTCGTCAAGCCGTGGAGCCTGCCATCCCCGCTACCCCCGCGCCGCCCCGCCCAGGGTTTTGGGCCAATGCGTTTCACGCACAGGGACTCCGCCGCAAACCTCCGCCGGTCAGCTCGGCGTGGGGTCCCTGCCCCATGACTCCACCGGCTCAGATTGACGCGATCGGCCTTTCGCGCTGCCCTTGCCCATCCGGACCATCGAGACCCAACAGCTCGGGCCCGGGGCATTCGGATCATGGGCTCTGGACCGACAAGCCCTCCGCCCAAAAGCAAAGCGGGCAGAACGAAAGGCCTTGGGGAGGCAGTAATTTTCCCCCAGCGGAAGGGGGCTATCCCCGCACGGGTACAAGAGGCCACCGTGCGGCTGAACCCCTCCATCGCCGACCAATGGATGTCCACGGAGCCGCCCGATTCAGCAAAGGGCATTGCTCCAGTTTCTCATCGCAGGTTCCTTCCCTATCTATCCCGGAATGAGTTGCGCGGGTCGCTTGCCAGTGGGTCTGCGCTGCGCGGCGTTGGGGGCCCCCACTGCCCCTGGAGGTGGCATGGAGTCCTGACAGCTCGCGCGGCTTCGGATGTGCTTCCCGAGCTGGGTTGCTTAGTTGGACAGGTTACAAGAGCGTATCGCTCCGGCTGTTGCTGAACCTGGACCCTGTCGCCATAGCCTGGGTTGTCGATACCGCCCCAGTAGACTCCTTACTCATACGATTCCTCTCTGACCGGCCATGGCTCCCCCGTACTGGAGTCCCATGCCGCAGAACTCTGGGCCTCACGGGGCACCAGTTTGTCGCAACTGAGTGGTGCATAATGGAGCCATAATGGGCTCATTATTGGTGACCCGAGCATTGGTCAACCGGCGGTCTTCTCGATCCACGAAGTCAACAATTTCCACAGTTTCTGTGAGCTGCTCAAAGCAGCGGACGTGAAAAAACTAGAAATCTTCGAGTCCAGAGAAATGCAACTATGACATTTATCATGTCGAACTTTTGTTAGTCATTGTGCCACGTCAGCACAATGATGAGCTCGCAGCTGACATGCGGCAGCTGACTGGGCCCAACCCGCATTTGGCCGGTCAAGAAAACGTGGATAGCCGCCTAGCATTGCCAATGCACGTTGTCATGAAGTGAGGTTTAGTGATGACAATTATGAAATCCGTGTATGAGAAAGGAGATATGCTTTGTCTTGAATACAGAAGAAAAGACACCAAAAATATGTGGCGATACTACCATGCTAGTTAGCGAGAGTAATCTCCAATATAGGGATAATGGCAGCCCTACCTGATGCACATTTATGGCAAAGGGCGCCAATGAAAAAGGCAGAATTCCTGGGGCAACGCTCGCCACTTCATCACAAAATTAATGTGATAGGTGATGGATAGATTACTGATAACGTAGGCATGTTGCAACTGCTGGATGGCAACAGAATAGGCCAAAAGGGACAGTCATACTGCTTGATAATGGCTCCCATTTGTGGTAGAATTCTAGGGGAACATGCAGTTTCCGGAGGGCCCCAATGGTGGGGTGCACTTGGGCAGCAATGCTCAACTGGTAGTGATTATGAGGTGAACTGAAGAATGTACGTATCTCGTCCTGTAGCTTGGGGTGCGCATCTACGGCTGCCATCTTGTTTCATGTGTCAAGGCAAGCTTCGATGTCGTACAGCAACCTTGGACGCCGGGTCGCGGGGCGCCTCAGAGACGCACGCACGGCAGTGGCGACTTGCAGCAGCGCGCTCGAACATGGCTGCCAAAGCTCGGCGACGATGGTGACAATGGCGGAATCGAATGGGCCACGTTGCAATGCTTGCATGGCGGCTGGCTGCCTCGCCGCGCATGGATTTTGCATGCCCACGAAGGGCTGCCATGAGCCCAAGGGACGCTGGAATCCATGGCGAGCTGGGCTGCTAGGCGTGGTCTACATCAGAAGCCCTTCCCAGCGCTGGAGGGCGCGAACGAGGCGCTGGCGCCAATGGCGGAGGTATGGGGGAGCAGGCGAGGGCACACCTTGGCGATCGTGATGAAATTGATGCTGAATGATGGTGATTTGTTGATGACACAACAACCTGTGAATCCATTGAGCTGGTTATGATCCAATGGTTGCAAAAGGATAGCTATCTGATGGGGAAGCCGCGGGGACGGCACTTGGCAGTGACTTATGAGTGATTGGCACTGACTCAAGGATCAGCGCGAATTATTGGATATGGGGAGGGGAACAGGTAGCGGACCACAACAGTGATCGAGGAAGATGATGGGACAGATAGGGGATGATTTAGGAAGTTGGCCAGTAGTGATTCGGATCTTCAGGGAATATTCTGAGGATCCTCGAACATGGGGAACAGCCAGCGGGGGATATAAATAGGGGCACCCACCGTGGGAGCTGATCTCCGGGCTGTTGTTTTGGACGAGAATGTAACATATACCTGGTTGCCCGCGGAAATCTTGGAGCGCCTCGTTGTGTGTGAACGTCTAAGTGCCGCCCAAGTCCAATCACTTCATGTGATCGACATCGAGAACGTGCTAAGAGCCGAATCGGAGAGAGCAGGCACTGCCCCATTGTCGTGCAGTGTGTGGCGCGTCGATTTGCGACCTGCAAAGCGACGGTGATGTTGCATTGCGTTTGCATGGTGATTTGATGAGTTGCATGAGGAGTTGGTGAGCAGCAATGGTGAGAAAACGAACGTCGGACGCCTAAGAAGCACATGGGCGTGGCATCGAAAACACGCTGCAACACTACCACGCTCATTCAAGTGTGAAGCCCTGCGACGATCGCAGCTCTGCAAGGTCGAACAGCTCGGAAATCCGCATTACATAATTCCTTTACAAGTACATGCAGCGCTCTCGCTGGTGCTCCCTCTTGGCCTGAGCCAGGCTGGAAAATGGCGCTGTCCTCCACCTAGCTGCCTCAGAAACTTGTATCCGTTGTGGAACTGCGTAGTCATCCCTCAGTCGAGGTGATGAGCGACGATCGACGTGAATCTGCGGCCTGTGCTGTTGGTGAAGTGAGCCGTTGCCCGACTGCATGTCTGTTACATACGACGAACAATGATCGACGTGTAATCTAGGCCGACAAAGTCTGAGCCGGTCGGCGCAGGCATTTTGGCTTCAATGATTAGCTTTTTTGCTCACAAACACTGAATTGAGGTGCCTCGCTTCGGCAGCACCTGTGCCAGGAAGTGGAAGGCTTGGATCCTCACATAGTGAGGAGGCAGCAGCTCACCAGCCTTAATGGGCAGCTGCACGTGGAGGCTGCTGTTACAATCGCACGTGCATGGACACCACAAAACTGCTGCTTGGCGCAAATTCGTATTGCTGCCACCGCAGAATATGGTACGTCATGGACATGGCAAGTGCCAGGAGGTCATGCTCAGAATACAGGCGCTGGTGGCTGTTTCTAAAACGGTGTTGTCGTTTTCCTCAACTGAAGCTCATAACGCCTGGGTTTCCAGAAGGGTGTTGAAAAAGCTAACACTGCCTATAACACTTTTGGGGCAAAGTGGTACAAGGCTTAGTACTGTGTACTGCTAAGCTGCAACGCATCTTCATGACGTGGCCTTCTATGCCCCTTGAAATATTCAAGAATCAGCATTTAATTGATGATGCGCAGAACTGTTAGACCCACCAACTCTGGACATCAGGGCACACGTGTGCACGCAAGTGCACCTGTTCAGTGGGTGCTGTCCAGAAGATGTGGAACCTTGCATCATTTCAATAGTCCACTGCAGCTGCAGCAGGATCAGAGTCCACATGTCCACCGACAAAAAGAACAATCTACAACACTATAACACACAAAGTATTGATACAATTGGCATAAACTATGCCAGCGGCTTTCCAGCTTGATCCCAATAGAGCACACAGGCCTGTGCCCTTCAAGTCAGAAGGTCGTCAACCCATCGCACCCCACCCCAACAGGCGCCCGCAGATTTACCATCTGATGATGGTCACATCGTGATAATTATTCCGCTGTTTTCTTGCATTCCTTGTCAAACGATCGCACCACCCCCGCAAAGTAACTCCCCTGGTGCCTGGCCTCGGAAAGCTCCATTTCAGATGGTTGTCGGCTCCCATCGGCAGCTGCAAGGCAGCCAGCGCCCCAGGGACTCCCGCCACGAGCCTGCACAGCACCAAACAGGTCAATGTGTTAGGATGCAGTCATTCAGCACATTCTTTGAAAGACAGTGCAGTGTGCAAGCCCAGAATTTTGTTGCCAAAAGCTAGCAGAGTCATAAAACTGCAACAGGTGTTGTGAAGTTTCCAGTGCAAGTTGGAAATTCTCTCTGCCAGAGTTGCTTTATACATCTGGATCCTTTACGATCTCGGGTGGCACCCTCCTATCAGAAGTGGTGCACGGCCCTGCTGTGCGAGGAGGCGCCAAGGCCCAGAATTGGAATAAATCCCACGAGCATGGCTGCAAAACATCCTGAAGCAAGGATATGTTGAGGGCTACGAAGTGAACAGAGAGAAAGAAGCTTATCACAAACATGGCTGGTCCCATATTCAAGCATTCCAGAAAGAATGACCCCTGTTCCAGGAAACACATCCTGCGCATTTCAAAGGTCAACGGACATCTCACAAACTCCACATCACAGCTATGGGCATCGTGCTGTTTTCTTTGCTGCGTTTGGCATCTGGAAGTATCCTTGCCTGATTTCAGCAACATCGTCACTGTCGCATTGACCTCACCTCTTCATTGCTGAACAGGTCCTGTCCCTGGGTGTATCCCACGGGCACAAAAACCATGCCGTGGTGGGCAAGCTGGGTAACGGCTGTGAAGGGCGTCGTCTCCTGTCCGCTGTTCGGCGTCCCTGTGGACGTGAAGATGGCGGCGGGCTTGCCCACCAGGGCCCCTGACTTCCAAAGCCCACCCGTCGAGTCGAAGAAGCATTTCATCTGGCCGCACATCATGCCAAACCTGCGCCAAGCCCGTCAGCTTGCTGAGCATGAGCACAGGATGCCTGACGACTGTAAATTTCCTGTGCATCCATCAGCGCCCCAACAATGGGAGGGATGCCTGCAAGTTTCCGCCTTTCCACTACTGTCCCGCTGCTGGACCGGCCCTGCCTCTGCTGATTTGAATACAACCAGACCGTGCATAGGGCCCTACCTCGCCGAAAATCTGTGAGAAACTCAGCTGAATTGGTGGAGATGCATCGGAAATGTTTGCCGATCAGGAAAGTCAGCAACAGGGGAACGAGGCATGTTCACGTCCAGTGATACTGACCCCCAACCATGTCCACTTGATCCATCTGGCTGCCTCGGGCAGGTCTGCTTCCAGTGCAGTGCTCCGAACAAACAAGGCTGCGAGCGAATGCCTTGGCGGTGAGTCACCGCGACCCATTGGGGTCCTTCAGGCCCAAGCGCCATGCACCGAGCCCACACTCCCACGCGTCCCCGGGCCCTCACCTCGTTGGAAACCCGAATATGATCCCGTCGCCTTTCACCAAGTCCTTCGGGTCCGCGATCGGTACGTCCGGTTTGGGTGCAGCGCCCATCTTCTCCAGAATCTCGTCGTCCAGAGTCTCCTTCACCTGACGAGGACCAGGAAGCGATTCAGTGCCAGCCAGCACCGACAACGAAATCCATGGAGTGGAAACACCGGAGGGAGCAACATGAGACTGCGACAGCCAAGCACCACCAAGGCCCACCCGAAGACCCCGCGTCTGCTGTGCGCGGCTTCCCCCCAGGCGCAGGAACGGTCCGAGCGAAGGTTGATCGCACCTGGTACAACACGGCCTCGCAGCCCTCCACCGACTCCACCCCCTCCTTCTGCGCCAGGGCCATCTTGTAGACATGTCCGTACAGCGAGTAGAAGACGATGAGAATCTTCTTCCTCTTCACCGGCTTCGGAGGAGCGGGCGGTGGAGGGGCGGGAGGCTCCGGCGCCTCCTGGGCCTCCCGAGCGGCCTTTTTGCTCTTTCTTCTGCTCACGAGCCTCTTTATGAGGCCCGCCATCGCGGAGGCCGAAGTCGCGAGGCCTGGTGGCGCGCTGGGCCCCCTGCTGAGTTGGGATGCGGAGGGCCCCGGGCACCGGATTCGGACGAGGGGAGGTCATAATATGGGCGCGTGGTGGCGAAAGGGCCTGTTGGGTGAGGTGTACTAAGGGGTGACATCGAAATCGTCAAGGGATGGTCGTCAAAACGTGAAGCTCGCCGCCGAGCCCACCAGTCCCAACTTGTGTGGCAGGTGGAGAAGCAAGAAACAAGTGGCGGCCGGTCGCTGCTTCGTAACGGCATCTTCAGGGCACCAAAACGATGCTCGCTGCATACACATGCAAAATGTCTCCCGTGCTGAGGCACACACAGCAGACCTTCCCATGGAGGTGCTGACCATGAGTCTGTCAGAGTCTTGAGATGCGCAACCCGCCTGCAATGGCCCTCATCACCGATAGCGCGTGAAAAGGGCTCTTCGTCCCCAACGTGGAGCTGTCCATAAAAACTTCACTGTAAGTGCTTTGTGTTGCTGGAAAAATGCTAACGTCATGTGTCACACATGTACGATACGATCTGGACACTTGCTATGGTCAGCTTGATGGTGTCGATACAGCATTCATAGCCTTTGCTGCAACGTGTCTGTGGATGCATTATCGAGCAGCGTTGCCACAATGCCCGCGCGCCAGCATAATAAGCAGCTGTTGTCGTGGCTCTGATGCCCGGGCGACCGTCAAACACGAAGACGAACGAATGTGAATGTGAATATGCATGTGGTCATATTCAACGTGCGCATATCATTTTCTCCAGTCGACCCCGCAAGAAGATATCTTCACAATCTGTGGGGGAGTTGCAGGCACGAAATTGAAAATACTCACAATTTGCTTTGTGCTAAAAAGGATCTGAATTGAATGCCACAAGATTTGTAGTCTGCATTATTGCAGCCGACAGGTCATCTCCAATTTTATCAAATTGATTCGACTGTGGTGCCATCATCACGCCACACATTTCAATATACTTCCTCCGTCCCAAATTAATTGTCGTCTATGAATTCGGGGCGCCATTTTTCCATGTTACCTATGCCGGTTTTTAACAAAAAATTTTCCGTAGTTGTGCTTGTGTCTTGGGAGTGTGCTGCCAAAATTTCAAGCTAATCCATTAAGTATTGAGGATTTGGCAGTACTTTGTAGCAAGGGGTCTCCAACCAGAAAACGGCCGTTTTGGGGCCTCGCGGCGCGAATGGCCAGTTTTTCGCGATGGTGAGGGGCACGCCTTCGCGGTGGCGAAGCAAGGCCGCCTATAAAGAACTGGCCACGCCACTTAGACTGAAGGTGGGGGCGGTCCTTATGAAGAGGCAGGGTGATAGAAAACGGGCTCCCAAGGGCCTGATCGACGAACTGGCCGTGGAGTATGGCTGCGATGCGAGAACGATCCAACGAATCGGAAGAGCATTTCGGACCCAGATCTCCAAGCCAGGCGCTTTGGATCTCCATCGCCACCGTCGAGCCAACTGCGGGAGGCCCCCCAAGACTTGCAAAGAGGTGCGAGAGAAGGTGTTGAGCATCAGCCCGGCTAGGCGCTGGACAATCCGGGCAATGGCCTTGAGGACGGGAATGGCGAAATCGACGATTTTCCGGAATCTGAAAGGCTTGGGGGCAAGAAGAACCGTTCGATGGATAAAGCCCTGTCTTTCTCAAGAGCAAAGAGTTGCAAGGTTGCGCTGGATTGTAGAGCACACGCACAAAGTTGGGCGCAAGTGGCAATTTGTGGATTTCGCGAACACGATCCACATCGACGAAAAGTGGTTTTATGTGATGAAAGATGCCCAAAAAGTTTGGGTGCTGCCGGAGGATGGGCGTGTGGGTGCTCCAAAAGCACAAAGCAAGACTTTTGTAAAGAAAGTCATGTTTCTAGCTGCCGTGGGGCGGCCCCATAGTTGGCCAAACGGGTCCCACTTTAGTGGGCTTGTTGGAATATGGCCCTTTGTAAAGGAGGGCGTTGAGGTTCGATCTAGCAAGAATCGACCTGCAGGTGAGGCAGAATTAAAGCTAATTTCAGTTGATGGGGATGCGTGGAGGGATCTTATGGTGGAAAAAGTCTTCCCCGCTGTCAGAAGTGCCTTCAAGCACTTGAAAGAGCACGTTGTTATCCAAGTGGATGGGGCCAAGCCGCATACCAAATCGTCGATCCAAGCATCAATTGAGGCCGAATGCTCCAAGCAAAATTATAACATTACTATGGAGCGGCAGCCAGCCCAGAATCCGGACTTCAACGTCTTGGACCTTGGGTTTTTTCACTCATTGCAGGTCCGTGCATCAGAGATCAAGGATGGTGGGGATCTCCAAGACATCGTCGATTCTGTGACAACAACGTTCTACGATCAAGGTCCAGATACGCTTGAGCATGTCTGGCAAGCTCTCTTCCACGTGATGGACACCGTGCTTCGTTGTGATGGTGGCAACGACTATGCCTTGCCGCATGCAGGGACAGGAGCAGCCCAGATGCGCGGAGATCTTCTGTGGACGTGGAATGTGAATGCACATTTTTTGGACCGGGCGAGGGCTTTTTCGGGGGCCCTTAAAAGGGGGTAGGGCTGAACATTTTTTCTTGAAAACTGGTAGTTTAAGGTTTTGGGACCCAATCTTTTCGATTCTGACCTTGTTTTGTAATTTTAAGACCATCTTTGTAACGAATTTTGTCTTTTAAATAGACGACAATTAATTTGGGACGGAGGAAGTATAAAAGTCCGAAAGTTGCGTAACTATGTGCCGTTGGGCCTGGAAATTGCAACCGGCAAAGCGGTGTTCATATTGGAGCTGATGGCATTGGCATTGGCATTGCCACATAACTCACGTCGACGTGAGGTCAACATTACGTCATGTTTTCCTGAAATCAGTGCAGATCGAGGTGCTCATCGTACCTCTTCTGTTGGCAGTCGATCGCCAGAGGCCTGACTGGTTTGCGACGAATGTTCGAAGGGAATTATCATGGTGTCATTCTCTTGGGACTATGATGGCCTTCTTGCAGCGTTGTGGACATATCCTTCCCAAACAGTGCAATCTCCATTGAAACGCTCCATATGCCAGATATTTGTCAAAATCTGATGATCAGTGACAGTTCGCATTGGACGATACGTAGAAAGATGCATAAAAGCAACTGTGGTTACGATACGAATAACCCTACAATTCACAGGAACAACCATAAAACCACGTCAAGTAAGCAGAAACTACAGGGCATCTCTATTCCCACCAATCTACAACAGTCGTTCGGAGAAGTTCTCCCAATTCAATCACATTACGGTGGAATCATATCGTTTATAATCTAAGCAAGAATCGTGAATTCAATCACTTCACCAAAGATCATATAGATCCCGTGCCAGTATATATGCCCGTGTGGCTATTCCCTGAAAACTGTATGAATTGCGACTTGCCCTGTGCCTACAAACGCCTCGGCTATTTTTTGAATACGCTTACACATAAATTGACCAGGGTCTTGTGCAAAAATGCCTGAACATGAAGAGCGCCGATGCTCGCCGGATTCGCGTTACCAACTTAATTGTTGCGCCAATTTTCC